ATCATGGGTTGCTGAAGACCTATTCTACCCCGGATCTTCACGGGTCAAAATATGTGAGACAGTTGGTTTGTCCTGTGAAATACTCAGGCAGGGAATCTAGGGTCTCATCCCATGCTATATAAAGGCATCCTGACAGATACGGCTGGCATATTGATAGAAGCGGCGTAAAACACTGCTCACCCACTCACTCACATGCAATTCGGCAGTCATTAGGGATATTCTGAGCGTAATATCGCATTGAACTAAAGCGAGAGTTGTAACAACGGTGTCGGAATAATCCCCGGAGTTCTGTCCCCGAGCTACAAATCTCTCAAGCTTTTATTAAAACTTCACTCAGCAATCTCCCGAACTCCCCCCAGGGCCGGAACTGCCTGTAATTCAGCCTCGCCCGGCCAGGTAATTGGTAAACACTGGGCGGGCACCTATCGACAAAACAATCAATCATTCGGATATTATCGGCAATTATCGCCTTGAAACTGACCGTTCTTTATTACGGTGTAAACGCTGCCTCGGAATTTGATGACTGTGGAATGACCACCGAGATAGATCCATGTCGCCGGCGTGTTCCGAATCAATACTGTAGATGAGCACGTCATGGGAGTGAGTCAGGGACATGCTGGGTAAAGCTAAGACGCCTCTAGGAGCAGCATGGACACCGATCACCGTGGTCCTGGCTTTGTCAGGGAATCGTGAGCTTTAGTCTGGGGAGTTCATTGACTTGTAGTGTTAAAGACAGTTTGTTATTGGTACTGATGCAAGCCATTATATGTTGTCATGCACAAATTGGTATAAATTAATTTGGCATCGGTTGAAACCATGCCTAGTGGCCACGCTACTGAGCTTTTGGGTTTCCCATCTGTCTGTGTTGAAAATAAGACGTTGAGATGGCAATGGGGTTGTTAACCTTCTAGCGCCTAACAGGTAGCTTGGGTTGTATACTCCCCGGGGAGATGAGAATGATTGTTGAGTGCACACCGATCCAGTGATCGGCAGTAATAATAGCGCTTTGACCATGCCCCTGTGTGTGGTGGAAATATTTACAGATTAAAATAAAAAATGCGGCAAAGAGGGTTTGGGTGATCCTGACACAGTCAGGCTGATTAGGCTCATCATCAGCTCAGGGCCCTTGCCCCCTCTACACGCAGCCTAGACAGCGAAACTGGGCCGATTTGATATGGCACTTCGCTTGGTTGGCACTCATTTCTGTATCGTCCAGCAGTACAGAACCATCAACAAAATCAACACTGACATTGAGATTATGTCCCACATCCTTAGCTCGTTTACTTTAAATGTGGAATGACTTATTTTCACCATAATCTTGACATGCTTCACAAGAGGATCAACAGACAAACCACGCCCTCCCATTTATGATTGGTAAATATAAGCGATTGAGGGAAGAGCGAGGGTGGTGGGATATATTGTCTGACATGATCCTTCGTGTGAGGGTATCAATACCCTGAATTTCTTGTTTCGTCCAATCAACAACACCCAAATAATATGAAAGGACGTTATTATTTTTATTGTGGCGTGAAGTTGTGTGACATTGAGAACCACGTGGCCAGAGATGCTTAGGATGAAGAATGAATCAGAAACAGGCGTAATCAGAAGCATTCAGTCTAGTACTAGCGCACAGAGAGAGTCACTGGATCCCTTGCTCCTCAGTGTCCAGTGTCAAACAGAACCAGAACAATGGGTGACCTTGACGGTACTAGTCCGTTCATTGTGTTTCGTACTATGTTGCCGTGTATTGACGGGGCTTCCACGCCACTTATAGGTTTCACGAATGTCACATCAACCACAGGCCAGACTGAGTTAGCGAACTATCGCTTTCTGTATTATGTATGTGTCAAATCAGTGGAGCAACATTTCATTTTCAAACAAACTTTGCATGTATGTTCATTCACTAACTGCGTCTGACCCGTGAAGATCCGGGGTAGAATAGGTCTTCAGCAACCCATTCTTGCCGTAGGAGGCGACTATGCTTGTCGTAAGAGGCGGCTAACGGGATCGGGTGGTCAGGCTCGCTGACTTTGTTGATGCAAACAAACAAACAAACAAACATTAACTGTGTCTAATTTACATGATTTCTTAACACTGGATTGTCTGGTAGAGACTCAGTTGTTTACAGGAAGCACTTCGTATGTCAGGAGTAGGTTACTGCTCTGCGGCGTTAGGAAACAGACACCTACTTTTTTATGCAAATTGTGTGAGTGGCGGGTGCTGCCGATAGAGCAGGACATGCGTACCCTATTCGCGAACACCTGGTGTCATCGTTGATTTTCAGGTATCCAGTTTTGACTTAAGTCTTTCTCGTGTCATCGTCGGCAGCTAAAAGTCCACCCAGGTGGAAGTTCAACATGGAGATATAGTCATGCGTAATATGTATTGGTGTTGGTGAGATATTTCAAACCAAGTGCTACATAAGTACAATTTCAAAATCCGGTTGTTTAAAAAAGTTCGTTGGAGAAATAAATTCGTTCATCATTTTGTTTACTATTTAAAAAAAGAAGTTTTTTCGAACTTGTCAGGAATATGAATATTATATTCTTCAACTTTAATATTTGTTCCAACTATCCGTGACCCCTTTTCGGAATGTTCGAAGATAGCGGACCTTTGGACCCGGTGTAGTTACGCGTTCAAAGAGAGCACCGTTGTTGCCGCCATGTTAGAATGGAGATAAACCGACTGTGTTTTGACATTTGATGTAGTCCCACTGTAGAGAAGATACCTCTCATATATACAATTTAAACCTCGCGCTAAAGAGTTCGGTTCCAAATTAATAAAAGACGAATCTATGCACAGTGGGACTACTTCACATTTCAAAAGACAGAAGGTTGATCTCCAAGGTGCATCCACTGATACTCCAGCCTCTGTCGCAGGGGACAGGTGACGGATGGTTGATGAGGGATTAAGTGCAGCTAAGTGACAGCTCCATCCCTGCAGAGATGCACTGCAATCATCGGCTAATACCCTACTTGTCCGGCGGGGATAATATTTCAATAACATGTGATATTTTGATATTATCATGTAGTAATTATTCACATAGAAGATTGTAATGGTACAACATTGTCTCTTGCGACCTGCATCGTTATAAGACTCCCAACTCTCTCTCTCTCGCTCTCCCTCCCTCCCTCCCTCTCTCTCTCTCTCTCTCTGTATACGTTATTACACCCCAAATCTCTCTCTCTCTACTTCTCTCTGTATACATTATTACACCCCCAATCTCTCTCTCTCTCTACTTCTCTCTGTGGACGTTATTACACCCCCAATCTCTCTCTCTCTCTCTCTACTTCTCTCTGTATGCGTTATTACACCCCAAATCTCTCTCACTCTCTCTACTTCTCTCTGTGGACGTTATTACACCCCAAATCTCTATCTCTCTACTTCTCTCTGTATACCTTATTACACCCCAAATCTCTCTCTCTCTCTCTACTTCTCTCTGTATACGTTATTACACCCCAAATCTCTCTCACTCACTCACTCACCTCTCTCTGTGGACGTTATTACACCCCCAATCTCTCTCTCTCTACTTCTCTCTGTATACGTTATTACACCCCCAATCTCTCTCTCTCTACTTCTCTCTGTATACGTTATTACACCCCCAATCTCTCTCCCTCTCTCTCTCTCTACTTCTCTCTGTATACGTTATTACACCCCCAATCTCTCTCCCTCCCTCTCTCTACTTCTCTCTGTATACGTTATTACACCCCCAATCTCTCTCCCTCTCTCTCTCTACTTCTCTCTGTATACGTTATTACACCCCCAATCTCTCTCCCTCTCTCTCTCTACTTCTCTCTGTATACGTTATTACACCCCCAATCTCTCTCCCTCTCTCTCTCTACTTCTCTCTGTATACGTTATTACACCCCAAATCTCTCTCTCTCTCTACTTCTCTCTGTGGAAGTTATTACACCCCCAATCTCTCTCTCTCTCTCTACTTCTCTCTGTATATGTTATTGCACCCCCAATCTCCCTCTCTCTACTACTCTCTGTATACGTTATTACACCCCCATCTCTCTCTCTTTTCTCTCTGTGGACGTTATTACACCCCCAATCTCTCTCTCTCTCTCTCTACTTCTCTCTGTATACGTTATTACACCCCCAATCTCTCTCCCTCTCTCTCTCTACTTCTCTCTGTATACGTTATTACACCCCCAATCTCTCTCTCTCTCTCTCTCTCTCTCTCTCTACTTCTCTCTGTATACGTTATTACACCCCCAATCTCTCTCTCTCTACTTCTCTCTGTATACGTTATTACACCCCAATCTCTCTCTCTCTCTACTTCTCTCTGTATACGTTATTACACCCCCAATCTCTCTCTCTCTACTTCTCTCTGTATACGTTATTACACCCCCAATCTCTCTCCCTCTCTCTACTTCTCTCGGTGGAAGTAATTACACCCCCAATCTCTCTCTCTCTCTCTCTCTCTCTCTCTACTTCTCTCTGTATACGTTATTACACCCCCGATCTCTCTCTCTCTCTACTTCTCTCGGTGGAAGTTATTTCATCCCAATCTCTCTTTCTACCACTCTCTGTGGACGTTATTAAACCCCAATCTCTCCTTCTCTCTCTCTCTCCTTCTCTCTCTCTTTCTGTGTGTGTGTGTGTTTGGTTGTCGATTATAGTTACGACCAAGTTAATGCTACTTTGACATGGGGTCATTGGGCATAAAGTGAGCAGTGCTCAGCCGTGATTACAAGTACATCGCTGTAGTCTGGACCAAACAAACGAGTGGCTAAAGCAACGATCCCCAGCCATGTCACACATACCCAATCCCATTTCAGTCGACACTTAGGACTCGCATGTTCACACCTCGACCGTTTAGATCCTACCGGGTACCCATGGCAAGACTAAAAGTTTAACGACATCACTACTCTCAAGGGGACTTCACATATTTTATAAAATACTGAATTAGGCAGGTCAAGCCCTAGATATATGGTGCAAAGCTTGCGCGTGTCGGTTGTTGATAAAGATAATCATGCATCGTGTTTTCATTTCAGTTTTCGCTCCTGGTCCAGATTGCAACACCGTCCACACAAACTTAAGCGGCGCCGTTATAGAGAGTGATGACGTCACTGGTACCTCTGTTGACGTGTGCGACATCCGCCTAGTGACGTCAGACCGGTGGCTGGTGCACGTGGACCACCTGGTCATGGACAGGTGCCCTGTGATGATGCAGCTGTATGACTCTAATGTGAGGTCATCGCTTGAGCCACCTACGGTATGCACCACGGGTCAATAATTACATCACAGCAACGCTGTTTTATTGAGAACTGGCTGATGAATGATTTGGGAATTCTTGGAATATGGTTGGGGGACATAGTTTGGCAATATTTCTGGAAATGGGGGCGGAAATTGACGGGGGATGGTAATGGAGTGACTTTGGAAATTGTTGGTTGAAAAATGTTTGGGATAATGTTTGGGAAAATGTTGGTAAATATTTGAGATATATATGAGAATTAATTGGAAAATGTTTGGGCTATATATGAGAATAAGTTGGGATATGTTTGGGCTATATATGAGAGCTAATTGGTTTGGATAGATTAGGAAATGTTTGGGAAATGTTTGGGATGTGTGGCCGTTGAATCAAGGGTTCAAGGAACTAGTTGAACTGTACACTAATAGTGTATAAATGTCTGCTCATGTAAACTGCCGGGCAAAAGAAAGTATACATCCATGTTTGGTGATGGCTGAAATTGAAACAAACAAACAAGAAACAGTTACTCGATGGTGATGACGTAGACACGGTTATCATGGTCAGTTTCTTGTCCCTTACGTCTGCAGTGTTTCGGCGACTGTTTTCAGCCTAGTAACGTTTTTAAAACGTTGTAATGTTTTGGTCACATCCAATTTTCCAGTGCTTGCCGTCTCCTGCCCGGCAGTTTAGGTCTGAAAAGTCATAAGACATAAATGCTCAAGAATTGGATTCGCCCGTGTTACGAACCTTCACAATGCTGAACGTCAAGCAACACAGATCGCCATGACACCGAGTCACCAGTCAGCAGCAACATGTACACAGAAGAAACAAGAGGGCCGAAGTTCTCCTTACCCGACAGAGTGCAAACAGAAATCGCACCTCTAGCAACTCTGCATGCGGAGATTCACGCGTGTACACTCTTGAATTGGTAATCTAAATGTTGTGTATGATCTCCAAACGGCATCGACCTCTGCAATTAAACCACAACTGCGTCACTCAGCGTGTGCCTAGAGAGACGTCATCTGTTTAAGTCTGGTGATGTGTTTGAAGACACGCAATTCCCCATTTATACATATGTTCTTATAGCAAATCACTCCCACTGAACACATGCAGACAAAGCTATGAATATCCAGAGCTTCGGGAATCTCGTGGGAAGAACAGACTATTAACTGTTGTCAACAAAAACAGATTCTATTTCTCTAAACGCTTCATATTTGCCATTTTATGAAAAGTAGAAGCTTCAAGTGGATCTATCTGGTCAGAGCGTGTACAGTGAGACCTGCTTAATCTAGACAGCAGTTCGTATTAACATCAATGTCCTGTTCAATCATTATGCAGTGAGTGAGTGAGTGAGTTAGTGAGTGAGTGCGTATAGAGTAACAACATACCAGCAATGTCACTGATCTCCATGTCACGGACGGCCGGTTGTGGGTTTGGAGGCATTGAAACATGGCATACGCACCCGGGAACATAAGAACTACGACCCGTGTGGTGGCTTTTCGGTAATGGTTTGGGATTGCCTGCCACACGATTGTAAGCTGGACTTGTCACCTTCCAAGGTAACCTCAGTGGTAAGCGGTACATTCGTAACTTCCTGCAACCAATTGTTGTTCCGCGTTTCGACAACCACCCACTAGCCACCAGACCTGTGTACATGGATGACAATGCTGGGCCACATCTGTCTCGAGCAGTAACAGCTTTTCTCTAGACTGACGCTGTGGCGACACTGTGACGACCTGCCATGAGTCCTGACCTGAACCAACTAGAGGAGATTGGGACATCTTGGGGAGACGAGCACAGGCACTGGACCCACCGCTACAGACTCTGCCATGAGTACTGACCTGAACCAACTAGAGGAGATTGGGACATCTTGGAGAGACGAGCACAGGCACTGAACCCACCGCTACAGACTCTGCCATGAGTACTGACCTGAGCCAACTAGAGGAGATTGGGACATCTTTGAGAGACGAGCACAGGCACTGAACCCACCGCTACAGACTCTGCCATGAGTACTGACCTGAACCAACTAGAGGAGATTGGGACATCTTGGAGAGACGAGCACAGGCACTGGACCCACCGCTACAGACTCTGCCATGAGTCCTGACCTGAACCAACTAGAGGAGATTGGGACATCTTGGGGAGACGAGCACAGGCACTGGACCCACCGCTACAGACTCTGCCATGAGTACTGACCTGAACCAACTAGAGGAGATTGGGACATCTTGGGGAGACGAGCACAGGCACTGGACCCACCGCTACAGACTCTGCCATGAGTACTGACCTGAACCAACTAGAGGAGATTGGGACATCTTGGAGAGACTAGCACAGGCACTGGACCCACCGCTACAGACTCTGCCATGAGTACTGACCTGAACCAACTAGAGGAGATTGGGACATCTTGGAGAGACTAGCACAGGCACTGGACCCACCGCTACAGACTCTGCCATGAGTACTGACCTGAACCCACTAGAGGAGATTGGGACATCTTGGAGAGACGAGCCGGGCACTGGACCCACCGCTACAGACTCTGCCATGAGTACTGACCTGAACCAACTAGAGGAGATTGGGACATCTTGGAGAGACTAGCACAGGCACTGGACCCACCGCTACAGACTCTGCCATGAGTACTGACCTGAACCAACTAGAGGAGATTGGGACATCTTGGAAAGACGAGCACAGGCACTGGACCCACCGCTACAGACTCTGCCATGAGTACTGACCTGAACCCACTAGAGGAGATTGGGACATCTTGGAGAGACGAGCACAGGCACTGGACCCACCGCTACAGACTCTGCCATGAGTACTGACCTGAACCAACTAGAGGAGATTGGGACATCTTGGAGAGACGAGCCGGGCACTGGACCCACCGCTGCAGACTCTGCCATGAGTACTGACCTGAACCAACTAGAGGAGATTGGGACATCTTGGAGAGACGAGCACAGGCACTGGACCCACCGCTACAGACTCTGCCATGAGTACTGACCTGAACCAACTAGAGGAGAATGGGACATCTTGGGGAGACGAGCACAGGCACTGGACCCACCGCTAGAGACTCTGCCATGAGTCCTGACCTGAACCCACTAGAGGAGATTGGGACATCTTGGAGAGACGAGCACAGGCACTGGACCCACCACTACAGACTCTGCCATGAGTACTGACCTGAACCAACTAGAGGAGATTGGGACATCTTGGGGAGACGAGCACAGGCACTGGACCCACCGCTACAGACTCTGCCATGAGTACTGACCTGAACCCACTAGAGGAGATTGGGACATCTTGGGGAGACGAGCACATGCACCGGACCCACCGCTACAGACTCTGCCATGACTACTGACCTGAACCAACTAGAGGAGATTGGGACATCTTGGGGAGACGAGCACAGGCACTGGACCCACCGCTACAGACGCTGGCCCAATTTGAGACAGCTCTTCACAGGGAATGGCAGCAGTTGCCCATTCAGCAGATCAGACTTGCTGGAGGGATGAGACGAAGACTGGAAGCTGTCATCCGGGCACGTGGCGAGTTTAGTGATTATTTGTGTCCTTTATGTCATTTGTGGACTGACAATGGCATTTCTCATCATCAACCATGATATGGAATTGTTTTCCTCACCCTGCACCTCCATACTTACTGTGGCTACTGATTTGCACAGATACAGCGCGTATTACAGATCACGTTTTACAAACTGTTGCAGGAATAAGTGATGGTTTAGGGAGACATAATCAAATTTAACAACAGTTCCGTCACCTTTCAGTTACATAAACTTGATATACCCTTGATATACTCTCCTCAGTTTATTAAAAATATTAACGTAATAGTTTATGTGTGTATTATTGCTTACAGGCCAACTTCTCCTGCGGCCGCCATCAGCAGGCAGTTCCGACGACTCTGGATTTCAAGACAGACTTCTTCACCTTCAGGCTGGTCAATGAACAACATAAGAAAGTCCGGTTTAAGATTGTTCTCACAGCTTATAAAGAACGTAAGTTGGTAATAGTATATGCTGAAAGTTGTCAAGCTATTTTGAGACATTTCCTTGCAACATAGCTTGGCTTGGAAGCTCTAATTTTTTTTTTTAACCTTTGCTATATTTCGTACAACCGCTGTTATAACGGACGCATTAAGGAAAATGGTTCTTTCCGGTGATTTCTGATGACGTTATAATGTCGGTACGAATATTTCCATATGCAAAAAGTCAAGGAGTTCATTTTGATGAATGTGGGCAGTACACACAGATGTGTTTATGTATAACTGAAGTAATCACGACTTGAGTATAGCTAGTGAATGCCATATTGATTCTGGTATTCTCCAATACAATTCCCTTGGTTAAATTCTTGATTCTAAGACGATTCCGATTCACCTCATCCATGTTATACTCCAATATACCGACAAGTATCTATAAACTGAAGCTTGTTTCTGGTCTAAGGAAAAATATGGTCTGAATTGCCCCAATTCGCTTGCACCTCTCCGCCGTACCATACGCTGATCGTGGGTTCGAATCCAAGATTTACCCCGACGATGATCCAAGGTGTGTCAGCACCATTCCCGTACTCGTGTGTTTCACAAGTGTTTACAAGATATGCCAGCACCGCTTTCAATTTCTTACAATAAGCTGTCACGCCATGATATAACCAAAATGCTGTTCAAACGGGGTTTAAAACAAACTCAATTACTTATTCTTCTGGTCAACGAAACTGAAAAAACATCAAAGTCTTCAACCACCTAACAATCAAGACCATTACATTATTAAATTTCCCCTACAATAAATGGCGCATGTTGCGAGCTTGTGTTCTAAATTCCGGGTAAAAGAAAGTGTTCACTGTTGGTAGGTGGCTAAAGTGGAAAGAAAAACGAAATTGTTTTAGATGGTGATGGATTATGATACGGGTACCGTATTGTGTTTTGTACCTTAAGTTTGCAGTGTTTCGTCGACTGTTTTAAGGCTATTAAAGTTTTATTAACGTTTTACTACTTTGGTCACATCCAGTTTTCAAGTGTATACTTTCTTATGCCCGGCAGTTTTGTCTAGAATCTGCGAGATTTTCACTTCGGTTATGGCTTTGACACCATAAATCTCCCTAAAATATATATTGAATGATTGATATCGGCAATTGGAGGATTGTTAAAATAACAACCGAACATGATTCTAATCCATTGTGAATGTCACTTGAACACTGTCATCACATTTATCGACACGTTAGGTCAATAAAACTGAAGCGAAAACATAACTACTGCTGAAAAAAACATGGTTCACAACGCGTCAAGTTCAATTGAATCGGACATTGTAGAAGTAAACGGAGCTATTTCAACCATATACACGGAATTGTAAAAGTAATTTGTTTTATTGATTCTCCGTCTAACGTCAGTAAGAGTCTAAATGATTAACGTCATCGCATAGCCGTGAGGTGCCAATGGAGGTCTTTATATGGACGTTTTGTTTACACGAGGAATTTGACAGAATCGCATGACCGGCTAATGTTGAAATCTATAGAACATTTCAATGACAAGATAAAATATTTGAAAGTGCTCCGCTTTTTTGTCAATAAAAGATCAAATTAATATTGATCCAATTTGGAGCTTTCATGAAACGATCAGGTTGCAGAGCTTGATGTAGAAATCAAGCTTTAGGATTTATTATGAGCTGGCAGAAACATTCATTTACAAAACGAAACGATTTGTCATATACTTATTCTTCAGTCTTGTTGCAGCAGAAATATGTTGGAAGTAAATATGAATATTTGTCGTTTACATATAAATAAACGTACTCGTATAAGCTCTGTAAATAGAATCTGTCGCTCGTCACGCCGAAGGCCCGGGTTCGATTCCCCACATGGGTGCAATGTGTGAAACCAATTTCTGGTGTCCCCCGCTGTGATATTGCTGGAATATTGCCTAAAACGGCGTAAAACCATACTCACTCACTGTGTAAGGCGATAACGTAATCTGTGATTATGTTCTTTGTATTTTGGGAAAGCTCTTTCCCCAAATGTTCCCACGGGAGTCCTATAAAAAACAAAACGATAGCAGAGACAAACAAATACGAAAATCAGAAAATATAGACATTTATAAAAGAGAATCGTATCTGCGCATTAATGTTCAAATGCGCGCTAGACACGCTTAAGACCCACAAGAGTACATTATCATACATCTTGTCAGAATGATGAGATCTGATTATTCCACGTGATGTTGATAAAATACTGTGTATCCCGCTTTGGATGAGAATAAATTTCTCAGCGGAGGAATAAATCTCTTATACCCCTCAACGAGCAAGGTAGGGTGCGCGTAGATTTCTGAGGGGAAGAATAAATCCCTTATACCCCTCCATGAGCAAGGTAGGCTGCACGTGGATTTCTGAGAGGAAGAATAATCCCTTATACCCCGCCACGAGCAAGCCAGGCTGCACTTGGATTTCTGAGAGGGAGAATAAATCCCTTATACCCCTCCACGAGCAAGGTAGGCTGCACGTCGATTTCTGAGAGGAAGAATAATCCCTTATACCCCGCCACGATCAAGGCAGGCAGTGTTTCCCGAGTCAGTGGAAGTCACGTGACAAAGCGCAAGCTTACCTCAGCTGAGTCGAACAGCTGTTTTCTATCAACTGTGCTTGAATTCTTTTACAATGTCATATTAAAATATAACGGTAAGATATATTCGTTGTATCAGGATCTCTCGGCGTACATAGGGTTTTATGGGTCCTGCGGTAGGTTATCCGGCTCGCGGTTTAAAACCTACTGCGGGACCCATAAAACCCCATGTACCCCTCGTGATCCTGCTACAACTTATAATGTCCATTCTTAGAGTTTGATGGACAAACGGTTTTTTTGCGTTGACATGTCATGAGCTGTACTGATTCACCCACTCACTAACCCGGGCAAATTTTGTTGCGTTTGGGGACAAGGCGACAATATTCGCCCTGCATGGCTGCCGGCTTAAAGTATTTAGTTGAACATTGATAGACAGGGTTCTAACCTTTAGAGGATCTCACAGGACATAGGATGTCACCAGCTGATGTCCAATGCTATTTTTTTTCGTACTGATTGAAGGTTTTCTTACCGACCAGCGACTGTACAGTAGCCATGTTTCCAAACACGCTGAAAGCAATTTACGTTTTTTTGTAATTATCTTTAATTGAATCCGGCATCAAACGTAGACGTGTAGATGTAGTTCCTCACCATGTCATACCACCGTCGGTTCCTGTTAATGTCAGAGAAAATATCCACATTTAAATATTTGTTCTTGTTCTATTTCAATGGTGGCATCTGCTCCCCGTGGAAATGAATGCTTTTGTAATCTCTTATATTTTCAGTTTCAATTATTGATGGAAAGTTTTGATTCGACCAGGTCTATGCATGACGTGTTCGCTGAAATACCGCGATGCTGTGTTTTGTTGCTGATTGGAAGTCCAACTTTGCTTTTTGTTATAATACACGCAAATACATGGTACATCATTTATACTCGTGTGTATACGTTACTGGATTTACTGGTAATAGTTACATGTGGGTTTCAGGGGTACTTTCCTCACTCACGCATACACGTTCACTTATATCTAGTTGCCTAGACATCCGCCTCCGTGGTCTAGTGGTAGACCGTCCGCCCGGAGAGCGGAAGGTCCGGGGTTCGATCCCCGGCCGCGTCATACCAAAAGACGTTAAAAGATGGTACTTGTTGTTACCCTGTCTGCCGCTCGGCATTAAGGGGTTAAAACAAGGACTGGTCGGCTCGGAGTCAGTATACTGTGTCTGAGTGGGGTATTCATGTTAAACTGCAGCATGGTATCTCAGTGGGCTAGCGCTATCAATCGGCATCAGGCCGGAACTAGTACAAGCAGCCACACACACACACACACACACACACACACACACACACACGTGTGCATGCACGTCGCTATATAAGTGCAATAATCTTGGACGCGACGTTAAACCCAACTTCACCTCAACTCACCTAGTTGCCTAGACACCGATGGAATACTGTAAATCCTCACATTTTTTAAGTGAGTGAGTTAAAACTAAACGTCGCATCGGCATTATTTCAGCCATATTGCGACGAGAGCAAGTTGTTGTATAAACATTTGAGTCATGAATACACAGTTGTCACTTATTAAGAGAATGAAGTTGGTTTAATGCAGCTTTGAATAATATTTTAGTAAAATCACGGCGTGTCAGCTTGATGAAAGCAGATCTGGAAAGAATCAGGTCTTAGATTTAAACCATTTCGTTGAACCCCAAGAGAATGGGTGGTGCTGACAAATCTTGAAACAGTCAGTCAGAGCAAACAGGGATTCGAACCAACAATCACAATGTCCGGCACGACAAAGTGACGCAGATATACGGCGCCTTCGCCGACTGTGCCACCGGTTTCATAGCACACACCCCTCTGTTTTCACTCACTCACACAGAGAAGCGTCCCTGAGGTATTCGAGGTCCTCGTGGGTTCACAAGGTGGTGTTTAAGACCTGTATCACTCCGCGCGTGCCTCCCACATAAGGCTGATAAGCCGGGATGTAACCCCCCCCCAACCCCCCCCCCCCCCGACACACACCGTGTCAGCCAAATGGCTTACACACATACAGTTGTACAGTTTGGTTCGACTATTGTCTTCCTAGCGTCCTCTTGCCCCCCTGACTTCGAGTGCGGGAGCGGCACGTGTATCCCGCGTTCTCTGGTGTGCGACGGCGTGGACAACTGTGTTGGCGGCAGAGACGAGCTCGTGGACATCAACGAGCTGGACAATGATACTCTAGATTGTCACGGTCAGTATACATGTAGAATAAATATATAAATAAAAACTTTTATCATGAGATGTAGTTATACAGTAAACTACGGTTATAACGAACACGCTTATAACGAACTGACCGATATAACGAACTTATTTTTTAGTCCCGGGCATTTGATTTATATATGCTGTATACATGCTTATAACGAACTACGGTTATGCCGAACTAAAATTAGTGGTCCCTTTGAGTTCGTTATTACCGTAGTTTACTGAACTACATCAGGCCTCACGAGGCGACTAAGTTGGATCAGGTGGCTTGACTGCATGACTTGGCTGATTGCATGTCATCATACCCCGATAGTTCGCATCCATGCACATCAATCACTGGTTTGCCTGGTCCAGACTCCATTGTTTATAAGCCGCTGGCACTGTAAAACTGTAAAAGTGCCACTGCGGACTTAAAGAACAATAACTCACACACTCGACTACTGGGAGCAATACAAATATTGTAACAATATTGACCCGTGAAGATCCGGGGTAGAATTGGTCTTCCAAAGGCGACTATGCTTGTTGTAAGAGGCGACTAACGGGATCGGGTGGTCAGGCTCGCTGACTTAGTTGATGCATGTCATTACATCCAAATTGCGTGGATCGATGCTCATGATGTCAATCACTGGATTGTCTGGTCCAGACTCGATTGTTTACAGTCCGCCGTGATAATGCTGGAGTATTGCTGAGTGCGGCGTTAAACAACAAACCAACACATAAATGCAATGCAATGATAGGTGGATTTCTCGTTGTATCTCCATGGATGACCCAATTACTGTGTTCCAGAGGGGGCACGGGTGGCCTAGTCGTCTAAGGCGCCGCGATTCGCTGTGCAGAGTTGCGTCCCTTGGCCACGCAAGAAACCTATGATTGTGGTTTCGAATCCCGGTTCGCCCCGATTATGTTTCTAGGTTTGTCAGCACCATACCCGTTCTCGTGGGTTTCACCTAAGTGGTAAACGTCTGAGACCTGCATCACTTCGGGCTTTCCTCCCACATTAAGCTGACACGCCGTGATATAACTGGAATACTGTTAAAAGCGGCGTTAAACCCAACTCATTCACTCACTGTGTTCCAGATCAGCGCGGGTGTACCTACTTCAGCTGTGTGTCCGACGGTCTGTGCATCCCGGGCAGATTCGTCTGTGATGACGTCATGGACTGTCAGGATGGCAGCGACGAGGAGCCCGAGGGAAGATCTAAATGTAGTAAGTTTTCCATGAGAGCCACATCATTCCGAATAGCAAAAGTACTTAGATTCTCCTATTTCTGTCGCCCAGTGGGGATTCCGGGTTAGAATAAATGCCTGTCGTCCGAGGCGACGTCATGAGTGTAGTGGTCATACTCGGGGATTTGCTGATTGCGTGTCCAACGACGCGGGCTGTTGCTCATAATATTAATCGTAGATTTGTCTGGTCCAAACTACCTAACGTACAGTCCTAGACCGGGAGCCCAGAGCACTTTGGTCAAACGAACAAGGTACCAATATCCGAACACAGGATCATTTACTGTGTAACCCAACATATTCATATATGGATGTCTGCCGGGGAGCCCCTGCTGCGTGTGGCCCCTGGCCCCCCAAAAGAAGGGACCATTCAAGGGCTGGATCAAACATTGGAGGTACCACATGAAAGTTAGTGTAAATGAACTGGTTCATCTCACAGACTACAGAATGGGCCACGCCAGACAAATCTTCCTCTGCATAAGGCTTGCCAGACACCCCCAGAGAGGGTCCCAAAATTTGGGCTGGGTTAAACAATGGAGGTACCACATGAAATCAACATAAAAAGAACTATTACACTCCAATAAGTATAAAATACCCATTGCCAGACAAATCGTCTGCTGCATAAGGCCCGCCAGACACCCCCAAATGTTGACCCTCAATGCACTCAGTGGACACTCTGGTAAAATTTGACTAGAGTATACATTCAAAGTACCAGATGAAAGTAAGTTTAGATGAACAGGTACATGTTACTGAGTACAACACGGCCCATACCTGACAAATTGTCCTCTGCATAAGGTCCGCCAGGCCCCCCAGAGAGGATCACAAAATTTGGGCTGGGTTAAACATTGGAAGTACCAAATAAATCCAAATAAAATTAACAATTGCACTCTACTTATCGCAAAATACCCCTAGCCAGACAAATCATCTTCTGCATAAGGCCCGCCAGATACCCACAAAAAGTTGACCCTTCAGGTATACACGGGTAAAATTGGTCTGGAATATATATCGATTGTACCACATTAAGGTAAGTTTAAATGAACAGGTTCATATCACAGAGTACAGAATGGGCCACACCAGACAAATCTTCCTCTGCATAAGGCTTAAACATTGGAGGTATCACATGGAACCAACATAAAATGAACTATTACACTCTACTTATTACAAAATACCCATTGCCAGAGAAATCCTCTTCTGTTTAAGGCCCGCCAGACACACCCTCACCCCACCCCACACAGTTGACCCTCTGTAATCCCAGTGTGCATAATGAAACATAGGAGGCAGAAGAGCATTAGACATCAGCTCTGAGAGTAAACAGATGGTCAAATTTATGTTTTGTTCTTAAAGATGGAAGGATTTTATTGAGATTAAAATCACGTATTTATAAAATCAGGTCTCTGAATACTAGTATTGATATCATAGGCTATGATCAGGCCTATCCTTGAAATGTAATGAAAATGGCATGAATCTGATTCTTGTGAATATATATCTGATCAGCTATGAAGTCCTAAAAGCCTGCTATAGCCTGATAGCTTGGCTATGGATTCCTATAAGCCAGATAGGCATATGATGCTACGTGCCATGATTTTTATATACTGAACAACAAAAGTTCCTGTGACATTGAATAAGATTTAATGCAGAGTTATGTTTTTACCAAATCTGAAACAATTTCGATTTGCAACAGATAAAAGACTCCTGTAAGTGTTCAAATGGTTTTAATTTGTCATACTGACTTCAGAATATGCGTGATTTCATTAAAAATAAAACATGAACATGCCAAATTTTCAGTTTACAAATCAATAGCGTGTGTGTCCACCTCTGGTTGCGATGCAAGCAACACATCTTCTCTCATGGAATGGACCAGGCGTCGCACAAAGTCCTGTGGTATGTCTCTCCATATCTGCTGGAGCATGTTTCGAAGTTCTTGGAGTGTCTGTGGAACACGTGGTTGACGTCGAAGGCGCCGATCCATCTCATCCCACATGTGCTCGATTGCTGATAGATCAGGGGAGCGAGCTGGCCAGTGGATGACATTCACGTTGTTTTGTTGAAGAGGTCCTGAACTAGTCGAGCAATTTGAGGCCGGGCGTTGTCTTGTTGAAAGGTTATGCCTGGGCCATGACGACGCAAAAACGGTAGTACAACAGGGCCTATGATCTCGTCGCGGTAGCGCTGTGCATTGAGATTTCCCTCTACCACTATCAAACGGGTCCTCTGTCTTGCTGTAATCCCACCCGATACCAAAACGCTGCCGCCCCAGAACCGATCTTCTTCCATGACACAATGATTGACGTAACGTTCACCTCGACGTAAGTACACTCGAATCCGTCCATCGCTGTGGCTGAGGTGAAAACGAGACTCGTCAGTGAATAGAATTTGTCCCCACTGTATGACCGTCCAGCGTAGACGCTGTCTGCACCACTGTAGACGTGCTTGACGGTGGTTCCTGTCAAAATGGGACGTCCGGCGGGTTTCTGGCGACAATCCCTGCACATCTGAGGCGGCGTCGTACGGTTTGTGAAGATATTCGTCGAAGGCCACGGATGCTTCTTGCAGTCACTGTTGCTGGCTAGAATCGATTTCGTAGGTGTGTTGTTCGAATCCAGTTGTCTTGTCGATTATTGGTTACGCGTGGCCTGCAACTCCGAGGATGGTCTCTGACTGCATTCGTCTGTTGCCAACGTTGCCATAAACACCAAATGTTGTTTCTGTGGACGTTAAATTGTCTTGCAACATCAAGTTGACTCGATCCTTCTTCAAGCATACCAAGCAGACGCTCATTTTCGGACAAGCGTGGCATTTCATAATGTTGAATAATTGCGTAATTTTGTTGTTTTCTGAGTGGTTGTTGTCAGCACGATGCTAAACAATGCATATGGAATCCCGTGAACGCACATGTTTTTATACCCATTCTTGGGTAGTGAAATGCATGGGGCTTGCATAAAAGTCAACTTTTGCATGGAATGCATGATTTTCTGTAGCATTTGCGTTTTTGTGACTTGATTCCATACATGTACTACAATAATGAAAACCAAACTTTACTTGTTTGAAAAATACACTATACACTTTTGTTGTTGAGTCATGCAGAATGGTTAATGATAGCCCCTTATACCACTTGGAAATGTTTTAATAACCTATGATCTCCATTTATTTAGCAAGTTTTATCATCTAAAAATCTGAATTCTCCATTTTTATCAATTTTACATAGACGTCTTTTCTTCGTTGACGAGATCAAGTCTAACCCAATGCAATGGTATCATTAGACTTATATCAAAGGCTAGGCCTATCGAGATATCGAGATTAGACTAGCTCACTGTATCAATGGATGCTGCATGGATAAAACAATGCTTGATGACACATAACGTGCAGGAATGTCAACACAAAGGAGATCTGACTTGAACTTTTTGAAAGAAACCTTCTCGCCACGATAAAAAGAAAGAGCGTTTTCTAAAACCCTTACCTTATTAATTTGCGCTACTCTTCTGAAGCTTACTCGTACGAACGTATTTGTGAACTTTCAAGCCATTTTTAAATTTGTGCGACAAGGTAGGCCTACGATCGAGCGAGAACTATGCAACCAATCATTTACATTGCATTAGTTAGAGTTGATTTTCCTGACGCAATAGTATCTCGTCAACGAAGAGAGGACGTCTATGTAAAATTGATAAATATGGACAAATTTGGCCGGAATTCAGCTTTTTAGATGATAAAACTTGCTAAATAAACGGAGAAGATAGGTTTTTAAAAACAATTATCACCAAGAGATTTCCAAATGGTATTAGGGACTGTCATTAACCATTCTTATAGCAGGCTTTGAGGACTACCTAAGCATGTTTGGGTTTGTAGGAATCCATAGCCAAGCTATCAGGCTATAGCAGGCTTTGAGGACTTCATAGCTGATCAGATATATATTCACAAGAATCAGATTCATGCCATTTTCATTACATTTCAACGATAGGCCTAATCTATGATATCAATACTAGTATTCAGAGACCTGATTTTATAAATACGTGATTTTAATCTCAATAAAATCCTTCCATCTTTAAGAACAAAACATAAATTTGACCATCTGTTGACTCTCAGAGCTGATGTCTAATGCTCTTCTGCCTCCTATGTTTCATTATGCACACTGGGATTACAGAGGGTCAACTGTGTGGGGTGGGGTGGGGTGGGGGTGTGTCTGGCGGGCCTTAAACAGAAGAGGATTTCTCTGGCAATGGGTATTTTGTAATAAGTAGAGTGTAATAGTTCATTTTATGTTGGTTCCATGTGATACCTCCAATGTTTAAGCCTTATGCAGAGGAAGATTTGTCTGGTGTGGCCCATTCTGTACTCTGTGATATGAACCTGTTCATTTAAACTTACCTTAATGTGGTACAATCGATATATATTCCAGACCAATTTTACCCGTGTATACCTGAAGGGTCAACTTTTTGTGGGTATCTGGCGGGCCTTATGCAGAAGATGATTTGTCTGGCTAGGGGTATTTTGCGATAAGTAGAGTGCAATTGTTAATTTTATTTGGATTTATTTGGTACTTCCAATGTTTAACCCAGCCCAAATTTTGTGATCCTCTCTGGGGGGCCTGGCGGACCTTATGCAGAGGACAATTTGTCAGGTATGGGCCGTGTTGTACTCAGTAACATGTACCTGTTCATCTAAACTTACTTTCATCTGGTACTTTGAATGTATACTCTAGTCAAATTTTACCAGAGTGTCCACTGAGTGCATTGAGGGTCAACATTTGGGGGTGTCTGGCGGGCCTTATGCAGCAGACGATTTGTCTGGCAATGGGTATTTTATACTTATTGGAGTGTAATAGTTCTTTTTATGTTGATTTCATGTGGTACCTCCATTGTTTAACCCAGCCCAAATTTTGGGACCCTCTCTGGGGGTGTCTGGCAAGCCTTATGCAGAGGAAGATTTGTCTGGCGTGGCCCATTCTGTAGTCTGTGAGATGAACCAGTTCATTTACACTAACTTTCATGTGGTACCTCCAATGTTTGATCCAGCCCTTGAATGGTCCCTTCTTTTGGGGGGCCAGGGGCCACACGCAGCAGGGGCTCCCCGGCAGACATCCATATATGAATATGTTGGGTTACACAGTAAATGATCCTGTGTTCGGATATTGGTACCTTGTTCGTTTGACCAAAGTGCTCTGGGCTCCCGGTCTATCCGCCGTCATACAGCTGGAACACTTTTGGCTATGTTAAACAACAAACCGATCAAAATGACACATATCCTACAGGTATGTCTCGAATTTTGATTTAAAGTGAAATCCTGTTTTGTGAGTAACTTGTGCAGTTACTGCAGAACTTATTTCTTGCAACTTCCTTTTTTGCGACAACTACTTATTGAGTATATCAATCTCTTGACACGACAAGGCAGTCTGTGAGGCCCAGGGATAAGTCGTGTGGTAAGTGTGGCGGTCGGGTAGCCTAGTGGTTAAAGTGTTCTCTCGTCACACCGAAGACCCGGGTTCGATTCCCGACTTGGGTACAATGCGTGAAGCAAAAACTTGAGTGGGTATAGTTTTACGCCGCCTTTTGCAATATTCCAGCAATATCACGGCGGGGGACACCAGAAATGGGCTTCACACATTGTACCCATGTCGGGACATGAACCCGGGTCTCCGGCGTGACGTGCGAACGCTTTAACCACTAGGCTACCCGACCGCTCAGCTGATTAATGAACATTGGATGTAAATATAAGCGACCAAAAACTTTCCATAATCATAAGAAATCTCTGCTAATAGCAAAGACTACTGTGCCTGGCTCACTCACTCACTCACTCACTCACGCACGCACGCACGCACGCACGCACGCACGCACGCACTCGCTCATTATTTATCAAATGTACTGTGCATTTTATTACAGTGCTGTTCAGTGAGTTGCTATGTACAGAACTAACACAACACCTTTGTCTTTCAGAAGAAGAAGACTTTGGTAACTCTCCACTTATAATAATAGCCGTGGTTGTGGGGGTGAGCTTCACGGTGTTCGGCCTGGCGATCATTATGGGAGTAATATGGCGGACACGGCCGGGGGTCCGGAGGCGACTGTCTTTCAGGAGAGAGCAAAGATGAGAAATCACTGGTTTTCGGATGAGAACATTTTATAGATAATACCATCAAGGCATTTGTTAGATATTTAATGTCCAATCCATCAACCAGACAACATGAATCTATTGGTTTCATCACGTTTAAACTTTCTTAAGTGAACATTACAACTATTGTGTTTTGCAGATGAGTAGCGGGTCGTGCATTAATTCAATATCAGTTGTTACTGTTTTCAGAACGAAACACTCTTCTTGCATACATGTTCTACAGATAATTAACGCTTTATTCTGATGATAGATGACGCCAAGCATATTTCTTGTAGACATGTTCTACAGATAATTAACGCTTTATTCTTAAGATAGATGATGCAAGACATTTCTTGTAATAATTGTCTCGGCCACTGTGCCAAGATACATGATTCCAGAAAGATTGCAAAGTCCAGAACAGGCAAACAGTCGATGTTAAAGGCGAAACAAACAACAGTAAAGTACGGTTATAACGAACTCAAAGGGACTACTAATTTTAGTTCGTTATAACCGTAGTTCGTTATAAGCATATATACAGCATATCTACAGCAAATAGTCGGGACCAAAAAAGTAAGTTCGTTATATCCGTCAGTTCGTTATAAGCGTGTTCGTTATAACCGTACTTTATTGTACATGGATAGGTTTTTATTGAAAGTCGTTTGTATGAAGACGTGAAACGTTTATGGAAACTAACTCCTTCATTATTTGTAATGCTGTTTCAGGCTACTTCTTGACCCTCCATCAGGGGGAAGTGCTGAAACGTCGCTACCAAACAATAAAAAAGAAATAAATGTTTCAAGTCTTCATGTTCTTCCGACTTTTAACTCTAGCCAATATTTGTCGTTGGTTGTTTTGGGGGCACGGGTGGCCCAGTCGTCTAAGGTGCCGCAATTCGCTGTGCAGAGTTGCGTCCCCTGGACACGCCAGAAACCTATGATTGGGGGTTCGAATCCCGGTTCGTCTCGATTATGTTTCTAGGTTTGTCAGCAACATACCCGTACTCGTGGGTTTCACTGAAGTGGTAAATGTCTGAGACCTGCATCACTTCGGGCTTTCCTCCCACATTAAGCTGACACGCCGTGATATAACTGGAATACTGTTAAAAGCGGCGTTAAACCCAACTCACTCACTCACTCGTTGGTTGTTTATTCATGTTGGAATTGCGTTAATACACAGGAGGCTTGTCCGTAGGAAAGTAAGAAGTAAGAAGGACCGTGTTTAGTTACCTGTGCCCCTTTCAACAAAGCGTCGTCACGATATGGCTGAAATACTGCCGATGTGACGTTAAATCTTAACTCACTCACTCACTCAACAAAGCGATCGTAGCGCTAAGGTGATAGTAACTCCCATACTTTAACATGGACTTGCGACTGTCGTACCGCTACGATCGCTTCGGGGAACGGGGCCCTGCATATTGTGACTGATATTTCTATATTTTGTTTTACGGATCAAGGACAGATAGACAGCCGTTAGACGACTATATACGTACCAGTCTTAGTTTTACTATAAGCATACAATTAGAATACAGGACAACGTACTGAGTAGATAGAAGTAGACTTCAGTCAGAGACAGACTCGATGTACACGCACTCTACACGTGGAACTCCTGGAAGACGTCAGCGTGAAACAGACCAGCTGTTCATATAACGGTTAACTCAGGAACTAGGTTGATAGCAATGTAAATGTGTAGCTCAGTAGAGACTTAAACTGTAATACACATGTGAAAATAAAGACTTAAAACATAAGCATTTGTCCAATTTCAATGAATATTTTAAATGATCAGATATAATATTGGCACCAGCTTAAAACTGATGATATATTTACCCGGTTTCATATGCATATTGATTAACTGTGAAGCGTTTAGCGAACTAAACTCTCAATACCAAACGTCAACATTATGTCCTTATGTCAACATAATGTCCCACATTCTGATGCCCTGTACAATTCCACAGCATTAGATACCTATCTTGCATGAAACGCTTCACGTTTTTGTAATTGATGTGTCACTTGCAGACATTGATAAGGAAATTACTGTTTGTTTTTTATCGTCCTGGGATTGTTGTACAGGAATGACCGCCACTTTTTACAGATGTTCAATTTCCTTTTTAACTTTAAATATTCCACAGATACAATTTTCTGCATTTCCCCAGTTTTTTTCTGTCCAATTTAAAAATGTCAAATCACAGATATTGCATTCAGCGTAGATGTAGAGTTCCAGGAAAAGTCAGTTGAAGTTTACACGTTGACGTCACAAGCATTCGGGGATTGTAGAATAATACACAAATTGATATCTTGTTGATGTTGAGTATTACAAGCCCTTTTCAGTAAGGGGATATGGATGAAAATATCTTGCATAATACCTTACAGTGTCTGGTAAGTGTGAGATTGGCCATGTCTGGTGTGTGTGAGATTAGCCGTGTCTGGTGTATGCGATTGCCCGCGTTTGGTGTATGTGATTGACCGTGTCTGGTGTTTGTTAGATTGGCAATGCCTGGTGTGTCTGATTGGTCGTATCTGGAGAACGTGATTGACTGTGTCTGGTGCGTGTAATAGACCATGTCTGGTGTGTGTGATTGCCGTGTCTGGTGTGTGTGATTGGCAATGCCTGGTGTGTCTGATTGGTCGTATCTGGAGAACGTGATTGACTGTGTCTGGTGCGTGTAATAGACCATGTCTGGTGTGTGTGATTGCCGTGTCTGGTGTGTGTGATTGACCGTGTCTGGTGTGTGTGATTGACCGTGTCTGGTGTGTGTGATTGCCGTGACTGGTGTGTGTGATTGGCCGTGTCTGGTGTGTGTGATTGACCATGTCTGGTGTGTGTGATTGCCGTGTCTGGTGTGTGTGATTGACCGTGTCTGGTGTGTGTGATTGCCGTGTCTGGTGTGTGTGATTGCCGTGTCTGGTGTGTGTGATTGACCGTGTCTGGTGTGTTAGATTGTCCGTGTCTGGTGTGTGAGATTGTCCGTGTCTGGTGTGTGTGATTGACCGTGTCTGGTGTGTGAGATTATCCGTGTCTGGTGTGTGTGATTGACCGTGTCTGGTGTGTGAGATTGACCGTGTCTGGTGTGTTAGATTGTCCGTGTTTGGTGTGTGAGATTGACCGTGTCTGGTGTTTGTGATTGTCCGTGTCTGGTGTGTGAGATTGACCGTGTCTGGTGTTTGTGATTGTCCGTGTCTGGTGTGTGAGATTGTCCGTGTCTGGTGTGTGTGATTGACCGTGTATGGTGTGTGGGTTGACCGTGTCTGGTGTTTGTGATTGTCCGTGTCTGGTGTGTGTGATTGGCCGTGTCTGGTGTGTGTGATTGACCGTGTCTGGTGTGTGTGATTGTCCGTGTCTGGTGTGTGTGATTGACCGTGTCTGGTGTGTGTGATTGACCGTGTCTGGTGTGTGTGATTGACCGTGTCTGGTGTGTTAGATTGTCCGTGTCTGGTGTGTGAGATTGTCCGTGTCTGGTGTGTGTGTTAACCGTGTCTGGTGTGTGTGATTGACCGTGTCTGGTGTGTGTGATTGACCGTGTCTGGTGTGTGAGATTGTCCGTGTCTGGTGTGTGTGATTGACCGTGTCTGGTGTGTGTGATTGACCGTGTCTGGTGTGTGAGATTGTCCGTGTCTGGTGTGTGTGATTGACCGTGTCTGGTGTGTGTGATTGACCGTGTCTGGTGTGTGTGATTGACCGTGTCTGGTGTGTGAGATTGACCGTGTCTGGTGTTTGTGATTGTCCGTGTCTGGTGTTTGTAATTGTCCGTGTCTGGTGTGTGAGATTGACCGTGTCTGGTGTGTGTGATTGGCCGTGTCTGGTGTGTGTGATTGACCGTGTCTGGTGGGTGTGATTGTCCGTGTCTGGTGTGTGTGATTGACCGTGTCTGGTGTGTGTGATTGACCGTGTCTGGTGTGTGTGATGGACCGTGTCTGGTGTGTTAGATTGTCCGTGTCTGGTGTGTGAGATTGTCCGTGTCTGGTGTGTGAGATTGACCGTGACTGGTGTGTGTGATTGGCCGTGTCTGGTGTGTGTGATTGACCGTGTCTGGTGTGTTAGATTGTCCGTGTCTGGTGTGTGAGATTGTCCGTGTCTGGTGTGTGAGATTGACCGTGACTGGTGTGTGTGATTGGCCGTGTCTGGTGTGTGTGATTGACCGTGTCTGGTGTGTTAGATTGTCCGTGTCTGGTGTGTGAGATTGTCCGTGTCTGGTGTGTGAGATTGACCGTGACTGGTGTGTGTAATTGACCGTGTCTGGTGTGTGTGATTGACCGTGTCTGGTGTGTGTGATTGACTGTGTCTGGTGTGTGTGATTGACCGTGTCTGGTGTGTGTGAAGCCGTATCTGCTGTGTGTGATTGACCGTGTCTGGTGTGTGTGATGGACCGTGTCTGGTGTGTGTGATTGACCGTGTCTGGTGTGTGTGATTGACCGTGTCTGGTAAGTGAGATTGCCCGTGAATGATGAAGAAGAGTGAATGATGAAGGAGAGTGAATGATGAAGAGTGAATGATGAAGGAGAGTTAATGATGAAGGAGAGTGATGAAGGAGAGTGAATGATGAAGGAGAGTGAATGATGAAGGAGAGTGAATGATGAAGAGTGAATGATGAAGGAGAGTTAATGATGAAGGAGAATGATGAAGGAGAGTGAATGATGAAGGAGAGTGAATGATGGAGGAGAGTGAATGATGAAGGAGAGTGAATGATGAAGGAGAGTAAAAGATGAAGGAGAGTGAATGATGAAGGAGAGTGAGTGATGAAGGAGAGTGAATGATGAAGGAGAGTGAATGATGAAGAAGAGTGAATGATGAAAGGGGATGAAGACCAGGCATTGTTCCTCTATCGAGCTTTCGAGATATCAGTTTTATTGTCAAGGAAGTAACTGATAGTTGGTTACGTAGCTTCCAGCCATCCCCTCAACACCAACCATGGGTTTCACACATTATACCATGGAGGAGTCGAACCCGGCGTGACCAGCGCTCTGAGCAATAATACAAAGACATTTGTCTGAATCGTGTAGTCATGTCTATCCGAGCATCCCGACTTACTGAATGATGAAAGCCCCGAGGCAATTGTTCCCCATTAGTTGTGACTGTAAAACAGTCCAGTAAAAGCATTATGTGTTGCTTCGGAACAAATTACTTTCATTGCATGTTGACAACTGTGACAGTGATGCGACAATGCCAACGACCACGTCTAACATCGTCAACAAGGACTGTAAAATAATTCATAAGCCGATCAATAACTCTTGAAAGTGGCAGTTTAAGAATAAAGTTATAACGTCCACATAAATAAAAAGGTCAACGCAAGACAATAATCAATATCAATTATCTGCCGATGCAGATTACAAAGGCAAGCTGGTGAAGCTAATGATGTGAATGGATCGCTGAACATCAGTGCTGACACCAGGTGTTGGCAACAAGGGTAAGCACGTCCTGAGTGAGTGTGTGAGTGAGTTGGGTTTAACGCCGCTTTTAACAGTATTCCAGTTATATCGCGGCGTGTCAGCTTAATGTGGGAGGAAAGCCCGAAGTGATGCAGGTCTCAGACGTTTACCACTTCGGTGAAACCCACGAGCACGGGTATGGTGCTGACAAACCTAGAAACATAATCGGGGCGAACCGGGATTCGAACCCACAATCATAGGTTTCTGGCGTGCCCAAGGGACGCAACTCTGCACAGCGAATCGCGGCGCCTTAGACGACTGGGCCACATTTACACGCCCTGCTGGAGATGCCACTAGTCCCACATCACAAGCATGTGTTAAGAAGTCAGGATACCAGGTGTTAGGGAAAGGGCGAGTGTATCCTGGCCATCTGGGGCACATGCAAAGGCAAGTCAACTGGCGTCAATCTCAAACTCATGGAATCACAAACTGAAGACTGGATACTAGGACACACCAGACAAATGAGAAATACACTTCACATGTACAGTCATTGAGACAAGAAACATGTCTGGCG